AAAAAGGGTTTACTGACTACCTTCTTTATTAGCGGAACTTTATGTTTATATCTATATATATATAGATATATATGTATATATATATTAGTTTTGAGATTCTCGAAGGTTATAGCGTGATAGAAACTCTTAGGCAAACCTACTAGGCAACTGAAATTGAAGATAATAGGTATGTCTATTTATCTAACTATCTAATATATATATAATGTATATATATATATATATATATAGAAGTTTCCAATTCTGTCCCCAAAACAGAAACTTGAATTTAGTTGCGCAGAATTTCTAGATATATAAATTTACTTGTTGAAGTCGATATCCCTTGTGTTGCTTTGAACAGGCACAAAGACGTAAGTTAACGCTGTGTACAGGTCCTTACTTACTAGCTTTACTTCAGCTAATGAAAGGGGCGTCTGCGCGACAGGGGTAAGAAGCACACCTATGGTAGCAGCCTTCAAATTATAATAAAAAGGAAAACCACCTATTACTCTATCCTTTTGAAGATGTCGCGTACTGGACGTCAGCCTTAATATTAAAAGCGGTTAAAGAGACGATCAGACCTCAAAAACGAAAGAAAACTGTGATAGAAAAGGTGCCAAAGAAAGAAAGAAAGAACTTCGTTGAGTATTATTTTAAACATGTTGTTAGGTCGATTATCATAAGCATATAACCGCATTCTGATGTTCTCCTTATTTAATTACGTAAAGGAAGAGGAACTAATATATATTTGCTTACTCTGAAGGTATGTCTGATAGCAGAAAATGAAAGTGTAATAAACAAGTAGGTAACTATCCAAAAATAGTAAAATAGAATCAGTTCGTCTTTAAGGTCAGGAAACCAATCGATGAGGCCATTTTTCACCTAAACTAACAATGCGTTGCTCAAGCAAGGAAGAACGGCTACCAAACTTCGCAGAGCCCGTGGTCGTCTTAAGAAGGAAGTAGACGCAATTAATCGCCGCGACCTCAACGGAACTAAAGTACGAGAAATAGACCCCATTTCATCCCCCGTTTGCGCCTCTGCGATCCTTTTTTGGTGTAATTCATCCCATTGACGAAGAAGATGCTTGTGTTCTACTGATTCCAGTCTGAAGGGTGTGCGCCGCGAACTCCTTTGTCTACCGAAATTCAACACTGCTTCCATGTAAAGTGAAGCAGCACTTTCACATATGGTGAGCTGCAATGACAATTGACTCGTGATAATTCGCTGGTCGGCCTGGGAGTGCTCAAGCCTCCAGGGAATGTTCCGAATATGGGCTTCCGGCCATACACCTTGGGAAACCTCCTCGCATGATCTCGCTCGCATGGAAGACCATCGGGCTGACATACGCTCCATATTCACACTTTTGCACGGTGTGAAGGGGCCTGCTTTCGTGTGCACATGCAAAGAAGCATGCTTTCGAAAAAGTTTGCTTTCCTGAGCGGCGGATACAAAACAAACGGTTGGGTATCGAATGAAGTACAACCTTTTCATGGTAGGCAACACCAACTCAAAAGTGTTTTCTGTCGGAAAGTAAACTACTGGCCAAAGGCGCATCTCCATTTTCTCTAGATACGGTGGCAGGGCGGGCTTCCACCTCGGGTAGACAAACTCAATGTCGCCGCTCTGCGCTGACCGCTGGCATTGGCTCCGATACCACCTAAAGAACGACTTCAAAGAGTGAGGTGGTGTAAAAGTACGCTCCAACTGCTGGCTGGGGATGGGTTTGAAGTCCACCACGATGCCAAAGCGCCCTCTTGAAGTGGAAACGACGAGGCCACGCCACAAGTACAGTCCAGCTGACGGAGGAACGATACAAGCCTGCCAGAGCTCTAAACTTGTGTAAACTGCATCTTGTGAGGCCAAAAGGGTCCTCCTCGGCATTTCATTCTCTTTCATCTCTAATGGAGAATAATGCCCCCTATTTTTTATCCCATGAACAGCGACCGTATTTTTATCGGAAGATGTAAGGCGCAGAACACGCTGCAGAACCGTTTCCTCTTTCACTGCTTCAGCTTCTTCTACACACTCCGATTGCCTTGAGAGGTGTGCGGTATCCCAAAGGCGGTGATCTTCCTGATGAATCAAAATCCAACCGCTCTCACGTAAGAACCATATAAGAAGACGAAGCTGATGCTCCATCGTGGTCGGATCCATCTTCTCTGAATGTGGTCCCATGTCCATTCTCGTGTTGCCAATCCATATCCTTTTGAAAGCAGATTTGGCCGATGAAACGGCGGGTAAAGATTTAAACAGACGTCCGGAAAACATTTCGTAGGATAAGCAGATTCCAAAGCGTGGAAGGCGCTCCGCTGGATCCGTCATAGGCCAGGACAACACTAGGCGAAAAGGCAAAAGCAGCTGCACATAGCTTCTCACCACCGAAACCAACCGCTCCGAACACATGGAATCACGGAAGATTAAATACTTCTCGGCAGCCTTTAGAAGCTTAGCGCGGCTGTAGTCCCGTGTCTTGCATTCCACTCCTAAAATGTGCTGGAGCTCGGCTGCGATTCTTTCCAGCGGCATGACATCCTCCGAAAACTCGAAGACGAAAATATCTGAGAGGCAGCAACTTCGATGGAGGCATTCGCCAGCATGTATGACGAGGGGAAAATAACAGTGCATTTTCGGCAAGCAGAAGGTATTGTGTACGGCACCACAGTTTTCTTTATCAAGCACTCTCTTTCCGTTGCTTACGCTTGAGTTTGCTGCGGGGGGTAAACAGTCCTTTAGATTCGCTAAAATCTTTGCATAACGATGGTTTTTTATCTGGGTAAACTTTTTGAATTCTTTCGCTGCGCATTCGTCTAGAAAAACACGTGGTATTGATTCCAAACTTGCTGCTTTGGCATATTCCAAAATGTTGAAATTTTTAGAACAGGCAGCATTTATCAGTTTCGCCACACGCTCTTCCTCGCTCACAATAGGGCAACGGTTAAAAAGGCAAAACGGGTCAAGGCCCTTCTTTAGCTTGTGGAAGATAAACTGTTTTTGCCACGGCATGGCCTCAGATATTTTGTTCAAAAATAGTGTTGGAAAGAGCGCACAATCTTCATTACGCCCCGCTTTGCCTTCAGTATTGTGCGATAGAGCACCCACATCACCGTCACCAAATCCATTAGACTTCCATTGAACTGAAGAACGCAAGGAAGAAGGACATCGAACATGCCCAAAGCGATTCAAGAATACCGCGCTAATCTTAGTCCGAAGTCCTTGCGTAACCTTTGATGCAGGAGGATATGCGATGAGCTCGAAAGACTCTCGTCCATCTAGCGATAACTCCTCAGCAAGATCTGTATTCACGTAAAAAAAAAATTGCGCATTTCCGCCAACATCCCAGATTCTGATTAGCTCGTCCAGGCCTCGGTCATGGAAGACAAACCGTGGTACGACCCAGCGCACCTGTATCTTCTGAGAGTGTGGGTCGGATAATTTCGCCTCTGGGCGTAAAGCCGACTCTGCTCCACCTACTTTCACGTCCATCACTCCAGGATGCTCATGAGGGCTATCTGAAAAAGACGCATGGTTAGCTTTCGCATTCAGTGGTATGCCCCCTTGATCACTCACCCTCAGTTTATTACCGGTGAATTCCTTAGTTGTGTTCGAGGGGCTAATCGAAACAAATCGTTTCATCTTGTTGCAATATTCATGTCCTTTAGAAGCGAACTCATGGGAAACCAGACGCATTTCTAAGTTATCACTAGAAAGAAGTGATGAAGTGGTAGTATTTTGAAGCACACTAGGTAGTAGTCGATAAAACTGCGCCAAGGAGCTGAAACTGTCCCCTACAATAAAAAGAACTGGAGACGCAAAGTGGCTCGTCAAGAATGAAGAGAACGCTTCCCATTCATTAGATCCTGCCTCAGTACGGGTATGCTGAAGGCTCGTTTGGGAGCTAGTTGTGTTCAAACCGAAAGGAGAGGCTCGGTTTATCTTCATACCAAGACCACTTCCCAAGGATTATGGTCTACCACTGTCGGGCTATAACTACCTCTGCTTTTGACCACTAAGGGTAGAATATGAGGATTCGAATAAACACGAATATGCTGATCTAAAAAAGCAGCCAACTATCTGTAGTTGAATCAAAAATAATACCATACCCCATATATCATTAGAAAAGGGGAGAAATGCTTCCAGGTCAGGTGCTCCTTAAGGTTGTCTTCGCAGCAGAAGCTTAGAAAAATAGAAAAATTGATCAAGGGGTGAAATTACTAGTCAATCGATTAGAATCAACGGAATACATGGTTTTTGCTACATTACGAATCAGTTTGAGAGGCGCAGATGTCGCCTATACACCATCTTGAGCCTCAACACGCCAGCTTTCAGTTATAGCTGGGGTCATTATGCTCAACGTTGATGAGATAGCGACAACAGACCCCCCACGACGACTATCTATAGAATAAGCACGGAGTTCGTATAGTTAAAGTGAAGCAACAGGTTTGGGTTTATGTATTTGCCACATTCAAACACATATATGCTTATATGAAGGTGACTCTCAACGTATACATACACCAGTAAGTTTGGTGTGTGTTCCAACTAAAACAGATATACAGAGGTAGACTGGAATGAATGAGTCCTCTATATTGCTTATTGAGAGTCGTATTGGTCCTGGTAAAGGAGAGAATGCTAGCTTTGCACCTTATCACCGAAGCATAGAGACCAAGTCTCTCCTTAAACTCAAGAAAAATAAGAGTGAAAGGAAATAAAATGGAAATGTGTGGATTCAAGGGATATGTGAATCCGATCTGGGATGCGAGTCCTCGCCTTCCTTCTCTACATATGAGCGAATGTGTCGGAAAACGCACCTGTTCATTCAATCTCAAAATTTCTAGAAAGCACAAATGTAGAGAGACCTGGCTTATACAAACGCAACTTTTTGATTTAAATAGTACATGGATATAGCCGGGTAAAGGGCCTGGGCCTCTGTTGCGGCGGAAATAATCCCCGTTGCACGTCGCTTGCCACAGACGATGTACAGCGACCCCGTCGTCGCATCCCAATCAAACTCGACAACGCAACCCGTGAAAAAGTGCATCTTCTCACACTTCCACGAGCCGTAGGAGTCCCCTGCACGGGAGAGGCACCACCCGCCCAGCTCCGAGATGTACCGGCTCTCCATCGAGGCCGCGAGCTGCGGGGAGAGCTGCGGGAGGAGGCCGAGCATCAGCCCGGAGCCGTCGCTGCCCTCGCCCTGGTCAAGAATGCGCACCGCCCACTGGTGGTTCTCCGCAGTAAGGGGAGTGCGGGCGCGCAGCGTCACCCACCCGCCGTTCGTCTCCCGCTGAACGGAGTAGCGATCAACGAAGACGCCGTGATGCGGCGTCGTCAGGTCGATCTCAAAGACCTCCAAGCCCATCACCCCCCGTCTCTTTCCCCCCTAAGCAAAGAGAATCACCCGGAGTCGACTTCCTTTTGAGACCGGAAAGAAGACGGGAGAGCCGCGTCGCGTGAGTGAGTCGCTCGGGACGCGTATGTAGGCGTGGGTTGAGTGGTATAGACCTTGGGTTTGACTCAAAAAGCTTCCTACTTATTCTCAGAAAGATATGAACACATCCTTTAAAGAGAAAAATACAAAAAAATGTTGTGGTTATGACGTGCATAGATCGCGTGGGATTGGGTAACGACACACGCATCCATACCCATCAAAAAAAATGGATAAATGGAACATACGAGAGCTTGAGCTATACAAGATGTTGTTTCAAAATAATTCAGGAGTGGCTGAAAGTAGCGACGAACACCTCACCTAACCCCTTCTCTTTCCCTTGTATTTCTTCGCTTCTACCAGCTAGCAAAGGAAAGGATGAAGTGTAGAAACAGCGAAATCAGCAAGCTAACTTCCAAGAGTTGAATCGAAATAGATTTGCAGGCTCTCAAACATAAATTTAAAACTTGGCAAAGACATCTCTTTAAAAAAATAGTGTAAGCTGAAACAGAACGAGAAAAAAGCGTCGGCTCACTGCAACACTAAGTAGGGAGTCCCGGCAAATTTCCTGCTTAAAGCTTTGCTAGATGGAACCCTATGCCATGGTTGTGCTCTATCCCCTCACTAAACAACACATTGTCGCGATAGGTCCCTCACCACGTCACCCATTAGACAGAGAAAGGAAGAGCCCGGAGAACTTTTCGCATATTCGGTGGCAGTGAGAGAATAACATCACGCACGAAGGACCTATAGCCACAGTAGATCGGGCAAGAGACCATCTTGATAAGCATTGTAACCTGAAAATTGAAAGCTTGTGGATCTTCAACAGAGGTGGCAAGCGAGACCAGCAAATCCGCCTTTGACATCAAAAGTAATGAAAACACTAAATCGAGATTTTGGTACCCTGAAAAAATCGCCTGCAGCGCTCGCACAGTGTCCAGTCGCTCGACATCCCCGTACAGCACTACCTGAGCTTGAGTCCAGAAAGATCGGCTCTGATTTTGTGGAAGAGCGTTCCGCCCGCTTGAGGGGCGCATAAAATTACCGAGAAGCGTGGCACCAAGAGGTCGTCGAGAACGTGGGAGGCTGAACTCAATGTGCAGGCCATCAAAAACACAAGCAAGATCAACCGTGACCGTTGAGGAAACAGATGACGTCTGGCCCTCCAGGCGCAGCTTGTCGGCTTCACCCTCGAGGCCCGATAGCTTTACCTCAATAAAATGTTCGAGTGAGAGTGAGAAGGTCTGGAATAATCGGTGTAAAGATAACAAGTAGCCATGGTGGAGCAGATCTACCGCTGCAGCCTCTACCTCATGTAGAAGCTGTGGACACCTATGGAACATCACCACGATCTTCCTCTGTTCCTGCTCCTCCTCATTCACCTCGAAGGGCGCCGATGAGCTAGGGAATCGAGAGGGGGAAATAAGGCCACATTCGTCGCCAAGGCTGTTGTGGCTCTGCACACCAGTTGCCTCAGCGCCGTTGGTGCGCCTGAAACGCAGCGAAGGGGAGCCAGCCACAATGTGCATCTCCATTCGCAAATCATTGTCGGACGCGGACGAAGACAAGCCAACTTCATCCTTGAGCAAAAACATAAATTGAACCAATTCACGTGCCGAAGAGAAGCTTTCCTCACGAAGGACACACCCAAAAAGCTCGATCGCACACTCAAAAGCTTTTTGAAGATCTCCACCCTGCTCTTGCTTGTTGTCGAAGGCTGCGTTACCAGTGGAATCGGAAGGAACCGTGTCGCATTTGATCACGGCGTCGTGGGTAGACGTGCAAGGCGAGTTAATTGGGGTGACCGAAGATAGATATGCAGGTTCCCGGGAGGCACTCAATAAAAGAACACGCACCAGAATCAGTGCCTCTTTGAAACACTGTTTGGCCACACACTCTTGGAAAAAGTCCAACAAAGGTCCCAGAACGCCTATAATAGTATCCCAGGCACCAGTATCGACCTTGCGAAAACAGACGGCAATAATTTCATAAAATTCAGGATAGAAGCGAAGAAGAAAAATGCTCGCTTCAATGGCGGTGATCCTATTAAGCCCAGGCAACTCCTCCTTGAGATTTCTCTCGAGAATAGTGAAGAGAAAGTATTCCATATTCGCCGTGAAAGAGCCATTCTGGCGCATCGTCTCTAGCCAAGGAAACAGTACGTCGGTCCAGAAGCAATTAACGGGATGCTCAGCGGCGCCGTCTCGAATCCCGTCCAGTGCTTCCTTCTGCAAGAGCCCCTCCTTCGCTTGCAAAGCTATGTTGCTTTGTAAAATTAACGCCAATACACAATGCGTATAGACAACAGGACGAAAGGAGACCCAAGGTAGGTTCAACGAGGGGCATCGCCAAATAAGCGATTGCACACTATGCTGCTCTTCACATGCCTCTGCCAAGCATAGAAGATAGCCATCGTACGGCGAAAGTGCGAGAGGGATCAAGTTCGAACCCTTTGGTGTAATTCGCAAACGAGCAAAGCCTGACGAGGTGGGGAGATCCCCGAGGTGAAGATAAAAAAGGCCCTCGCTTTCAAAGGTCACAACACGAAGTCCCCTTAGAGGACTGAAACGATCAACCCAGAAGTGGAAAACGCGCTGAAGTGCTTGTTCACTAGATTGTGAATTTGACAACGGGAACTCATGAACTTCGGTAACGCCTGTTTGAGGGCCCCCAGAAACAGCTTCGGTAGGATCCTTTTTGCTCAAACGCAAGCACACCAATGTGGAACCTTTGCGTGGCTGGAGAAGGATGATGGGCATGTCATGAAGGTTTGCCTTTGAACCATTATCGTCCATGACTTCACTGAAAAAGGGCTGAATCAAAAGTAGATTCGCTAAGCTTCCTGTTAAAGTGGTCATATGGATAAATCTAAAGTCCACACCAACTACGGATCCGATATGACGTGCATCTGCGGATAATTCACCACAGTAGACGCGCAAGGACTGCTGAGCGTCGAAAACGCACAAAAAAACATGCCCGCTGCAGCTATTTGTGGCGGAAAGTAGAAGAGGCTCACAGGGCATCTGGATACACGCGAGGGCATTTTTTGTTGACAACCACATTGGATGATATACGGCAACTTCGTAGGCTCTAACCGCGCCAACACTGTTTCTCACAGGCATTGCCAAGAGTTCGTCGTCTAGCCAAACAGGATCCCCGAGACAGGACACTTGCTCTTGTTCATTAGAAGCCTCAAAAACAAACCAACACTGAGAAGCACGGGAATACGTTGCGCAGCCGTGGAGCCCGGCGCATACCAGCCAGTTCCCTTTAGCAGACATCGCACCATACCTCAGCGGATAACTAACCTCAAGGTAGTGTGATGGAGGCTTCACAGACTGTTTAACGCCTTTGGGGCCATCGGCATTCGAGAAGTGAACGATTCCCAGCGCATCATCCATTAGCAGGAATAGGGGCGTGCACCAACCAACGGAAGGGCCTACCTCCACACAACTAAGTACACGCGTAAAGTCGTAAAGTGACAAATTCTTGCTTTGTGAGCCCACAACGAATAAGCGGGCGCCGTGATGAGACCAGTGCAGTGCCTTAAACCCCTTGACGTTATATGGCTCCTCAAGTCTGCTGCTAAAAGGATTCACGGCGTTGCCGAGAATCGTGTTACTCTCAATTAGAGATTGCATGACACAGATGCCACTATAATGCAGCACGACAACACCGAGGTGATCGAAGCCAACACAAAGCAACTCCTCCTTACCGGAGCTCCACTGCATATCACTGATGTCATGATTTCCTATATCATCATACGGAAAGGTGAGGCTTCCGCTGCATGTGAAACGCCACATCGCCGTGGTGGAGAGGGTGAGGTTTGAGGCCTCTATCGTATGGCAAGAAACCTCACCAGAGTGCGCAGCCACCGCTAGAAAGGAGTGGGTGGCATTTATGCAGACCACCTTGACAGACCTCAGCTCATGGCATCGTCCATGAAGTGTTATATCTGGGTTTACAAGATCCACCTCAGAGGAGACCCGCGCCAGAAACACAGAGTCGTTGGACAGAGCAAAGGCGAATGTCAGCAAAGGAGCCGCGAATGAAACACAAAGGATGGCATCCGAAGACACCTCTTGAATCGTTGGAAGGGCAGTATCAACACCAAGGTCGACGTTATCCTGGGATGCGGAGTAAGCTCCGTTTAGTTCGCCCGCCGCATCGCATGAAACCTCTCCTAGGGAACCCTTTTTGTTTGTTTGGGAGCGAACCACAACGGCCATACCTGGTTGAGTTATCGGCTTGATGTGTTGCGCCCCTGCTTCAGTGTACTCATTCGCTGCTCCACTGAGTGAAGGAACTTTCTGGACCGATGCGGAAAAATTGAACGCGCCATCAGAGCAGGGTAACGTCTCATCATTTTTGCACGTCATTGGGCGGCAAGCCTCCTGTAGGCTCTGGATGCCCCACGTTTTCAGAACGCTGTGCGTATCCCAACCAATGAGGTGAACCACACCAAGGGTTGTGCAGACAGTAAACGTGTAAAATCCCGCTGTTTTCGCAAGCGTCGTGAAACCGCTTCCAGGGTGAAGTTCTTCCAAAATTAGAGCACATAAGGGCACATCGCAAAGTAGTGGATCCCTGACAGTTTCCTTAAGATTTGCATTTGAGGGGGGCTCTAAAGGCTCGCCAGTATCGATTTTAATATCCACGTTGTAGAAAAGGACGCGGCGTGCGGTGATAACAGCTAATTGGCTTGCATATCGAGGATGCCAAAGAACCTGCAGAATTGGATCATCATTAAAAGAGCATTGTGGAACGGAGAGGGACGCCAAGTACACAATTTCCTTTTTATTGGACCAAAAATGAAGCTGAAGCTGAGAAGCAATTGCAATCATTTCTCCAAGTGCGTTGACAGACACTTGTTGAATGAATTCCTGATCCTGAAAAGTGGTGGGTCGGCCATAAACCCGTGGAGGGTTCAATGTCAACAACATTTTTAGATCAGTTGCTGCTCACCTCCCTAGAAAGATCAACGTCTCCAGAGAAAAATAAGCTTGAGAACGTGACTCTAGCCCTGATCCCGAAAGACTTTGAATAAAAACACACATGGAAATATCGAAACGAAGATTTTAAATAAAGATCACGCTGCAATCAATTTTAGTCCTCCGGGCATATCCCTCGACATTGGTTAAAATAAACCAATGTACTTGAGATAACAGCAATAGTGCACTCTACATTTATTAAGTGGTGTCTGTCGGGATTAGGGGGATTTGACTGTACACGCATAAATAATAATATCAATAGAGTACCCAAGAATATTTAAAAAGGGAAATGCAACACTCGGGCGTATAGAGGCCTCTGAAAAAAACAAAATGCGCTGCCAGACTATTATACGGAAACGAGCGTTCATACAGCATTTGCTGTCTATTTCCACTAATCCACCGGACGCGCAAAGGGCGAGCCTTCATAGCTTTCGCTGCCAACGCTGCTACTATGAAACCCAGATGAGCGGACCACCTCCATGGGGAGACTATCCTCCTCACGTACACGTTTTCGACGAGCAACAATCAGGTCATCTAGCTGAGGTAGACCAGTTTTCTTTCTCGTAAAAATAAAGGCGTCCATTATAACTCCGATAATGCAATCCCGCTCCTCCAGCTCAGGCAGCGGATACTGCTTCCAGATGTGCGCATACGCATTCTCATTGCCAGAAAAGTAAACCACCATGTAAAGAATGATTGCAGCAATCTTTTGGTACGAAAACTTGACGCACAAGGGGCTGATAAGGGATATCATGTACAGACAGTGCGCCACATGTTGGAGCTGCTTGACCATATCAGCCTCGTTCTTCGTCTGCCTAGATGCTGGATGGTTGTTAGGGGTCTCAAGCAGAACCAGAAGCTGCTTAATAGGATGGCTCCTCTGACAGTCGAAGTTGAGAGAGTCAAGCAGAACCAGCTCCACATCTAACAACATGCGTCGCCAAGCTTCTACATCTTCACCTTTGGGATTTTTATCAACATCCACCTCCAGCGCAACTTTCAACATTTGATCGACACGTAGTTTGTAGTGTTCCACCTTTCCAGCCAAAAAGACCGCCGCTGTACCGAGTACCGCTTCGTGAATCTTCCTGCGTCCATGCTGAAGAACAAATTCGTGCCAGTAGCTCATCGCCGTTGCAAAAACCGTGTCGTCCATACGCAACGTATCCACTACATGACGGATAATATTATACGCCTTGCAAACAGAATGATGATAACTACGATTATATTCTGGTAAATAAGACATAACTAAAGATTCCTGTCCAGACTTTACTAAAGTTTTAGTCATAATATTGGATAACTAGTCCTAAACAAAATCCCAATAAATAAAAAGAACATTTCGACGAAGGCAATGAGAAGACTCATAGAAAATTGATTAAACATTGATTGAATATAGTGCGAAAAAGGAAACACACAACACCCAGCAAATTGAGATGACCCTGAATTGCATGGATGAAGTACTTTTCCTTCACGATAAATTTTAAAAAGGAAAAAAAGACGTACCTTGACAACTCGAAAAACATTTAAAAGAAAAACTGCGGTCTAATTCCTAGATAAGCTCGAAAGAATCACATCGTGGAGACGAA